CCCTGCTGGCCTCGCTGTTCTCCCTGTAGCCGACCCTCCCCAAGGGTTAGAAGCCCCTGGGAAAGCTGGTGATAGGGCAGCAGCCCCCTCCTGGCCACAGTGAGAAGTCACCGTGCCCAGGTGTGGTCCCACTGGGGGTGCTTCTTACAACTGCCATGCACACAGGGGTGTGTCCAGGCCTCAGACGGGCCCACAGGGATGCAAGACCCCAGACGGTGGCTCAGGTCAAGGAGAGGAAGCCACATGGACAGCAGTCTGAGGGGCCAAACGTGAGGCTGGAGAGCGGAGGCTGTGAGATGGCCGAACGCCCCGACAAGTGTCCAAGACACTGGTGCAGCACAGCAGTGGGTTCCAGAGCCCAGACAAGGAGAAAAGCCATCTTTCTCACTGCTGCAGGGGAAGCATGTCACTTCACACTAACTGCGAGGCCCCACAGGGATGCCTACTGTGGCCTGCGCTGCTCCGAAGAGAAAACCAGGGAAGCCCTGCTGGGGAGGAGGCGGCACGGCGGCTGCTGAAGCTCCACACCTCCAGAGCACCCTCACCGTGGCTCCCTTGCAATGCCACGTCCCACGGCTCACACAGTTGCCCCTAGCTGCACGTGACGACCAGGTAATCCTTGTCACAAACAAGATTTCACGTAAAAAACTGACTTCTGTGAGCTTGACCAAGTGACAACTCTGTTTCAAAAAACTACCCAGGACTTTTCTGAAACTAAATAGGGATGAACAGGAAGTCCTGATGAGAACAGGAAGGCTGCAGCCCTGGAAGTGTGTTCTCTCTGACAGCGTCCAGCATGGCATAAGACTGCAACAAAGGCCCTCAGCCCAGAGACTGTGACGTAGGCTGGGCAGGTGTGTGCGGCTGCACGTACACGGATGAGACCAGCGCACCCACACCTCACAGCTGCCCACTCGCCACTGCCTGCCCGTCACTCGGCCCGGAGCTCCTGCTACGACCTTGGCCTGCCTAGAAACAGCCAGGGAAGGACTGTGTTCCCCAGAGGGGCCTCCACCAAGCCTGAGTGTGCACCTCTGCCAGGTCCTCCACCTGAAGCCCGCGCAGATGCAGGGTGACCACGTGTCCAGTGCAGGGCCTGTGCTTCCAGCACACACCTGCAGTCCCTCAGCTCTGCTGAGCACCAGCCAGAAGGACCTGCAAGGTGTGAAGCAAAAGAGCCCTCTTCAAACCAAAGCCAAGGGCTTCCGGGCCTCTCTAAGAAAGCCAGTGGAACTCTTCCCAGATCACACCTCTATGCGTCCCACTTTCCCCTGGTCTAACCACCTGGGAATCCGGCAAGACAGAAAGGACAGGCCACGGATCAGCATCGGCACCCTTAGCACACAGCGCTGGCTGCGAGGCACAGGAGCCTTCCAGGCGCTCACGGCCCATCTGCTGATAATGCTTTCGAGAGTTCTCCTGGCGTGCTCCGTCCTACCTACTCACCCACAGCCTCTGAAACCGCCCTCTCCAGCCAAGGCCTCCTTCCTCCTCCCCTGCCTTCCAGAGGAACCTGACAGCCAAGGGGAGCCAGGTAAGCTGCTTCTTTCAGAAGGACCAGGCTCCTCAGCTGAGGCAAGCCCCAAACCTCACTCCTTGTGGCATCTAACAAGAGCATGATGAAAAACGACGCAGACAGAGGCAGACAAAGATGGCCAAAGGTGGGTCAGGGCCACACACCAAGAGATGCAGCGATGGCTCCAGTGGCTCAGACGAGGGCCATGTGGGGACAAGGCCTGGCGCCTGGATGAACGGGTCCATGACCCACCGACCAATGGCGAGGATCTGCTTCCCTGGGCCCCAGAGCCCGGTGCAGAGACAGGTGGGTGAAAGGGAGGGTAAGGCTCACTGGGAGAGGGGCCAAAAGGGGCCCAAGGGCCAGACTGACAGGGCCCCATTGTTACCACCAGCCCAGATAAGGAAGGACCCGGCAGGGGGACAGGGCAGACCTCAGCACTGCTGGGGGTGATCACTGGTCCAGTCTTCCTCTTCCGCAATCCAGACCCCACCTGGCTGCGGGCCTCACCCTGCCCCGGGGGCTAACAGGCATCATGCACTGACTGGGCGGGCCACCCACCCTGTGATGACCAGTACCTCTTCCTCTGGTGTTTGCACCCAGGGCCTGCCCTCTTCCCTTCCTCCCAGCCCACCCCATCCTCTCATGCCTGCAGCCTAATCGTCCACCCACTCCATTTGGCCACTCCATGCCCCAGCCCAAGGCTCCATGTCTCCTGCTGCCACGACCGGCCAGCTCCCGGAGGGCAGTGGGATCTGTGGTTATGGTCCCCGCTCCCAAGTCGTCCAGGAGCATACTTTCATCTGGAAAGTTTCCAACTATGCGAGTCACACAAAAGCCCCTTTTCCAGTCGGCTGTGTGCTTCCAGACATTTCTCAGCAAAGCACAGGTGTGTGCTGTGGGGTTATCACACACGCAGGATTCCCCAGCCCCCGTCTTCCCAGACTGGCCGTGCACATCCATTCTCACCGAGAGACAGTATCCCCAGCCTGCTCACCGCTGCCCTGCTTTCCCAGGGGACATGTGCCTTCACTCTGCCTCTTGGCTCTGGTTGGCATTTCGGTCCTGTCAAGTTTCCTCCCCGTGCACACGCTTTGCAAATGGGCTGAGGACCTTCCTAGGACAGAGACCCAGAAGACAGGATGGCTTGGTCAGAGGGTGATGCTCTTAAATGAGCAGACCCAGCCCAACTCCCTCCAAAAAAGGTACTGCCTGCCATGAGAGGGGGTGTCCCCCAATGGCACCAGAACCTGCTTACCCTCTGGTGGCAGGAAACACCCTCACCATGGCATCCCCCAGTGGCTGCGTGTCTAATGGCCACCTGCACACCCATGTCCACGAGTCCCTGGTTTGGGTACTGAATCTAGGCCGCTGTCTCACGGATCTGCAGCGCGGCTGCCGTGGTGTGGGCAGGCACGCCCCGACTGCTCTCCGAGCCGCAAACGTTTCCTCCCAGCATCCCTACTCCTTGCAGCCTTGCCCGGGGTGCTCCCTACCAGAAACGGTCTGTTATTTCACCACGAGTTTCCTTATCTTTACTGCACAGCGTTCGCCCTCCCTGTCCTGAAGTAAGAGCCCCTCCTCTTGACTTCCTTGTATGGTTGTGGTTTAGCTTACTTCTTGGATCTGCCTGTGGTCTGCCTGTGTGAGTGGTATGAGGTACAGATCCCCCATGCATCCCAGCCACCGGCAGGTCATCTGCCCCACCTCAGCCACACTTTAGACATCCAGTCACATGGCCCCTAGGGCTCTGCCTGTGTCACCAGGCCCCTGACACACGGGCTTAAGTACCTTAGCTTCAGCACACACTGTAGTCTCCGGAAGGCAAGTCTCCCTCTTGGCTATCCACAGAATCTTCTAAAACTCTGAGCGTGCCACACCCGACCCCACTCACTATGCCAAGTGCTATGCAGGCGCTCGGGTCCATGAAGTGACACAGATAAGCAAATCCGCAGCACAGAACTGGAAGCCACCCTGTGTCCATCACAGTGGTGTTGGTGCACCCAAGCAGCGTGCGGCAGAGCGGGAGGCCCCAGCCAGGAGAGAGCACACCATTCGGCACTTGCACTCATCCGTGTGGACAGAAGTCAGGGCAGGGACACTTGGATTAGGGGACAACGGGGACACAAGGGAGACATGTGGCTTTACACAACGCGTGGCTGGACTCACCACACAATCCACAGAGCCAGACACCTGAAACGTGCACACTCTTATGGTAGGCATGTTCTGTGTCAGGGCAAAACAGGCTGTCCATTCACAAGAGCTGCGCATCAGAAGCAAGTGGACAGATTGTGCCCCCCTTCCCCCACCGGCTTCAAGATGTCCCTCTGGGCCGGGGGAGGCGAGGAAGGAAAGGCCGGAAGAAGACGCTGTGCACGGGAGACTGGACAAGAACGGAGTCAGCCCTGGCTCAAAAGGCCTCAGAGGAGCACCCAGCACAGCTGGGCCATTGTGAGCTCTGCACAACACCACCCGCCTGAGTGGAGAGTGAAGCCACATCTGACAACCGGGGGCGACGAGGTAAGGGGGGCCTGCACCCTCAGCAGGAACTCTTTCCTTTGTCAACTAAAACGGCAAACAGGGCATCTGGTCGGAGGGGAGATGCACCAAGTCAGGATGCAGCAATGAATGAGAGGGACGAACACAAGGGAGGTATTTTCACCAGAACACAGGGCCGAGGGGGCCAAGATACTCAAGAAAGTGAGGCTTCCAGTTCACGTGAAATCTGTCTCCTACCCGGAGACCTGCACACGTCAAGGCTCTGGACAAGAGTTAACTGGGCCCTAGAATCTGCAGCCCTGTTTCGTTATGCCAAGCACTTTACACATTTGGGAGTACATTTTTAAGGCCAGCCAGCCCATCCATCTGGTCTTGAGAGGCTGTGCAAAGGCTGGGGTCCCTCGGGCTTCAAGAGGCAGGGCTGAGAAGTCAGGTAACCCATCCCCACCCCGTGCGGCCGCGCTGTCGCTGTGGCAGCCCCCAGGGTTGGAGCTGGAAAGCATGAGCTTCTTTTTGCCCGACGTGTGACATCCTCCCAGTGGCTGCCAGCAGAGGAGGTAAACACACATGGGAACACAGTGTCGCTGTTCCCAGGGCCTTGGCTGAGAAAGCCCTGACATCTGTAAGTATTCTGAGCAGCCAGCCCTGCAGCACTCCACCTTCCTCCCCGCTTGGCGACTGAGAGCTCCACAATCTACACTTTGCTGTTTGGCATTTCACCATGACAAATTTTCTACAGTGATACTCTCTCCTAAGATCTTCGAGACATTTTGGAGCACTAATTCAGCCTCACACCAAGTATCATTGTCCCTTCACAGTTCGAAGGAGCAGCACAAACGAGGGACACAGTGAGCATTACAGAAAGCTCCTCGGCTCCTCCTGGCAGGAACAATGGGATTCTCTACAAGCCAGGGGCCAGCCCAGCCTCACAGTGGCCCCTGTGGCCCATGGGATTAACAAAGAAGGAAAGACCATTCCCACTAACCCCTCAAAAGAGGATAAAAGCAAGCTCTTAAAGCTAGCATGGTCCTGAAGACCTCAACGGACGCACCCCGAGTGTTAGCAGCACCAGGAGACGAGGCCAGACTTTTTCACTCTTAAGTGTGCATATATTGTTTTGCAATCTAAAAAAAAAAACTGAAAGAAAAAGGAAAAAGCTGCATTGATAACCCAAAAAGAGCAGCTCACTGGATCTGAGGCGACCTTGTTTTCATGAAGCCCATCGCCAAACCCCATGGTCCAGATCGACAGATGCCAGACTGTGTGGTGCTGCCCTCACGTGCCGACTGACATCTTAGCAGCAGATGGACCCAGTTCTCACACATCTGGAGCGTCAACGACAAGCGTGGCCCCACTTCCAGAGGCCTTCTCCGTCCCCCTGCCCCAGGCCGTTTCTCTCCATGGATGTCTTAGGAAGCAGCATCCGCAGTGCGTCTAGAGAGTCTGCCCCCTGGGGTGGAAGCCTGTACAAGAATGAGTCCCCAGGACACTGCCCATGGTTACACCCACGGTGAAACATGATCAAAACGACAGCTCACAAATGACACAGAGGAAGCATGAAGCAGTAACAGCTGAGGGGCTGGGCGGCTGGGGCAGAGCTGATAGCCTGCTGCATTCATCTGGAGAAGGGCTGTTGTCAAACACGCTGGAACAGGCCTGGACCGAGGGGCCTGCAGTAACATAAACACGCCCTTGGACCAAGGGGCATGCGCACATGCCAGTAACATGAAGCCACAGGACTGAGGTGAACGGTCAGAGGCCTGCAGGGGTGGGAGCACCAGGACAACTCACTCTGCCCCACGGGAGCACTGAGATCCCGGGGGGCTATGTGGAGGGGGACAGAAGCTCTGGTGTGTCCACTTGCCAACACAGCCACCCTCTCCAGCTGCCCCCACCCCACCTGACCTGTCACCTGATGAGGAAGGCTCCAGGAGACGGGCCCAGGAGGAGCAGAGCCACTAGGAGCTGGCCTGGCTCTGAGTGACCTTGGGAACACCATCTGTCCCTCAGCTTGAGTTTTCTTCACAGCATTTGGCCAAAGAACACATGCCCCAAAAGGTTGCCCAAAGGATTAACAAGCAAGTGCGAGAAAGTACTTTTGAAGGCTACCAGCTGGAGGCACCCCTTACAGCTGCCATCACATCACATCTGCCTCATGGAAGAGGGCTCTGAGCCCAAACAGCAGCAACAAAACAGCGGTCAGCAGGCCCAGAGCAGGAGGCCAGGCCCGGCCTGTGCTGAGCATGTGACATCCCCTTTGGAGGAAGGGGGCCTGAGGTTTAAGAGCAGGACGTTCACTCTAGCTGCGGCCCGGAGTAAGGAAGCACGAGACGTGCTGGGGGCGTGGAAGTGGTCTCCAAGGCCAGCTGTTGGGCCAGGCCTTGCCCTGGGCACAACCCTGCCCTGCCCCCACCCCTGACGCCCTCGAGGGAGGGGTTTGACTCCCCGAGCCACCCCAGGAAGGCCGTGTCCAGGCGCCGGGATGACCCAGCACCTGCTGCCTACTCAGACAGACATCAGCGATCACCCCGCTGCCCCCGCAGCAAGACGCGGGGAGGCAGCAGCGTGACTCAGGGCTCGGAGCGGACGACGCCGTGGCCCACCACCCCGCAGCGACCACGCAGCTCCCTCCAGTCTGCTTCCCCACAGCGAGCCAGGCTCCGCCTGCCAGCGGCCCCGCACCCCATTCCGGCCGGGACCACCGGGAATGTCTTCCAGGGACGCGCAGGGCGCTCCTGCCGCCGCGCTTGGCTGGGACTCCCCGGGCTCGGCTGGGACTCCCCGGGCTCGGCCGCTAGGTTTCCGTTCCACGCCTAGAGAAGGGGAAACTGAGGCACGGCGGGAGCTGCGGCCCCGTCCTGCCCGTGCACCCGGAGCCCCACTCCCCCGAGCCCCGGCCGCCCGCGGGAACTGCCTCCGCCGGCCCGGGCCACCAGCCTCGCACTCACCGCCTCCGCCGCGCCGACTTCCGGGTGCCGCGCCCGCGCGCCGCCGCCGCGGCCGCCCAGGCCCCACCCCCGCCACCGTCTCCGCGCTCGCCATTGGGCCGCGCGGCGAGGGCGGGGCGGCGCGCCTCAACCCTGGGCACCGTTGGTCGCGCGCTCTGTCGCTCGGGGGCTGCAGCCCGCCAGGCGCCCCGCCCCGGGGCTGCGCCAAGCCTCTGCGCCGCGTTGGTGTTCGGGCGCCGCGTGACCCCCGCGGCCTTCCCGGCCTTCTCGGCGTCCCGGCCCTGGGGACCCCGCGGGAAGTCGCAGCGCTTGCAGCCGCCCCGAGCCCATGCCCTGGCGGACACGTCAGGACCGCGGCCTGAGCTCCGGGCGGCCATCGGTCGCCTGCCCACGGTGTCCTCGCTGGAAGTGCTACAGGGATGCTCATTTCCAGACCCACCCCTCAGGCTGGGTCCTGGTCTGCCCCTCCCCGTCCATCCAGTACTGGCTTCTGGACCTGGCCTTCCTCCCCACTGCAACGCTGACTCCTTGACATCCCTGCCTTGCTCAGCACAGCCCCCGGACCAGGCACTCCAGCCCTAGCCAGCCTGCGTAGCCTTTGGGCCCACCTTGAGGCTGTCCTTTTTGCAGGTCCAGGACCAAGGATGAAGGGCTGGCCCAGCCTGATCTGTACTGAGCAAGTGAGCACCAGCCAGGAAGGGGCACTGACTAGGGCCCTCCCAACAGGACAGAGGCATTCACTCAGCTCTCTGCCCCCGCTGGCCTCGGGGCTGTGTCTGGGGCCTAAGTGCAGGGTAAGTGGAGAGTCAGAGGCCCAGGGCTTGCTCCAAAGGGCACTCAGCAAACTATGGCAAGGATGAGAGTTATATAAAGGGTAATAACAATGTGCTAAGCACTCTAAACCCAGTGTTCCAGCACACAGCTCTCATTCATGCCATTTTACGGATGTCAACACCAAGGCTCAGAGGATTTATGTCACTTGCTTTAAGTCAACAAAGGTGGCAAGTGGCAGTGGCTGGATTAGCTCCACAGCCCTGTGTTGAAGACCTGGGTGCCCTGACCCTGACTTGGAGCACTGACGCCATGTGGGAAACTGGGGCTCAGGGAGTGGAAGGGCTTGGCTGGTAATCAGCAAAGGCAAGAGTTGAACCCAAGCCTGCATGACACCCCTGAAGGCCCATTTCACCCCACTCTTGTGCCATCTCATCTGTGTTCCTCCGGGAACCCAACAGAAGCCCTCTGCAGGCATGGGAATCCGGGACTCTGGATGCCCACACAACTCATGGCCAGTAGGCGGCAGACCCAGCGAGACACATGATCCTCCCTCCTGCAATCCAGCAGCAGAATCGTGCTGGACTGGTGCCAGTGATTTCCGTCTGTGCAGCTGGACCACGCAGTCCAGCCAAGAGATGGTAGTTCAGATAAACAGGACCTGGGGCTTGGAGGCAAGTGACCATACCCTGGGGTATGGGGCAGCAGCTGCAAAGTGGTCTACCCCTAACCACTGGGCCACACACCTCAGAGGAGTGGGATACAGATTGGCAGAGCCCCCGTGAGCAGTGCTTTCCCATTGCTTGCAAAGGGGGATGGCAGTCTCGAGGGCGGGATGGAGATTCAAATCCTAGTCTGCCACAGAGAGCAGCATATGGCCCTGGGCTGTCTCACCCCCAGCCACGATCTCCCCATCGCAATAGAGCCAGATCAGACAGTCTCAGGGCTGCAAGGGACTCACTGCCATCCCACCTCTAATTACACATGTCCTTAGATGGGGAGCTTACTACCATAAGTGGCCACCCTTTTGGTCTCAGAACATCTACAACTGTTGGGAAGTTCTTCCTGATCTCCAGCTGAAACCTTTTTCTCTGTGTAGCTTTCCTCACGTGCCCCAGGGATGTCCCTAGAGAGCTGGCCAGTAGTTGGATAGAGAGGGTGGGAGGGAGGGAACAGACTGGGCTCCTGGTCCCTGTGGCAGTGATCGAGTGGTGGAGGCCATCTCTTCTGCTCTCTGACTGTTTCTGACCCCCATCTGCAGGCTGGGTCATGGTGGGCCCAATGCCAGACAGTGGCCCTGAGTCCTCTTGGAACTGGTGCTGTCCCCCCAATCCTCCCTATGCAGCTGGTGATCCAGCTTGGGAGCAGACAGGTCTCTGGAACCCTGTCGGGAGTGGCAGGTGGGAATGAGAGTGAGGGGGCCGTATTCACTTGGGCCGATCTGGGTGCACAGTTCTCCCCTTTGCTCTCAGCAGAGGTCTGTTCAGCCCCTCTTGCCCCCAACAGCAAGTGTGTGGGGAAGAGATGGTGCTGGACCACAAGGTCACTGTGAGAGGTGGGGCTCCAGGAGGACCAGGGCCCGATGCCCTTGGAGAGATCTGTAGGGACCATTGGGCTAATTAACTCCACTCCTAAATGTAGGAAAGAGAACACCCCAGCTCACAGGGCATCTGGGCCAGAATGTCACCGATGGTGAGGCTCCCTGGGATGAGAACTATCTTGCTCATGGGGGCCCTGGTGTTCCAGAGGGAGACACTTTATTCTGCGCACCCCGAGCTTCAAGCAACATCCCTGTACCAGGGAGCCAAATGGTTGTCGCCTCAAGTGCCAGCTCCAGTTGATTGGTGGTGGCTGCTTAGCCCTGGAAGGCTGCTGGGATCGATTTGCCATGTATGCCAGGGCACAGGGAGACCCAGAAGTGGTACCAGTGGTGAGTTCTGGCCCCAAGTCACTTCCCTTTCTTTGCTCTGACCAAGCAACTATTAGGTGAACACACTGGACTCCTGACGTGGGTGGACAAGATATGAATGTCTGGTCCCCCTGTCAGCACTGTCATGGTTGGCGTGGCTCCCTGGGTGGCCTTGGGGAATATGGTAAGCTGAGGATCTGGTCAAATCTGGGTAAAACCAGGGCAGGAAAGGCTTAGAACCAAGCATGAGCCAGGGTCACTGGTCAAGGGGCCATCTCCCCTAAAACAAGCCCCAGTGGGCAGCATCCCTGCTGGTTCCCTCGACACCACAAAGTTAAGCAGAGCTTGCCTAGGGTAACGGTCCCATTTTTGGTCACA